GAAGGAAGCGGGTTCAGACTAATTTATCAACAAATGTTAGATGTGGTTGCTCTGTATTGCCTCCTTTTCTCAGAACTCAAGTTCTTGGATGTCCTGAGAGTAGATATTACACAGGCATACCTCATTTTATTGGGCTTCATGGATGTTACATTTTTACAAATTGAAGACAAGACCTTCCACCAGCCAAAAGATTACAGTTTGTTTTATTGCAAGATACTCACTCTCAGGCCATGGCCTGGAACTGAACCCCCAATGTCTCTTAGGTAGGCCTATAGTTAATGAGTGTATTAAAAAAATTCTTTCCTCTAAGTAATTCTTGTCATTATTCTGTGGCAGTTAGACTCCATATGTTTCATGGTGCTTTTGGAATTTGAATTTTATGAGTTCCTTTCTTGAATTTTGGCCTCTTTAATGACTGGTTTGTGACTCTACTAAGGTAAAAGCTATCTTATAACCTAATTTGTTTTTGAGAACCCTGGTTCAAATAAGGATTAAATTGATTATGTCCATTTCAAAACCTGAAATAAAATATGAGTATTTTAGAGTCTTGGAATTTCTTGATTCAGTACAATTAAATGAATAAACTTCCTTTCAGAATAGTTATGTATTGCAATTCCTCCATGAGAGCAGAAGGGCTTTTCCCAACAAAAGTAAAAGCACAGTTTGTGCCAAGGGTGTGGAGCTAAGTGTCATTGTCACAGCCCATGAGGCCATCCTGTGTCCCCCTCGCAGAACCATGATGCGAGCTTGCCTCAAACATGAGCCGTGAGCATAGCTGCACCACACATGGAGAGCTGGGCATGTCTGTTTTAGTTTCTTTTTTAGGATGATGATGAAATGCAGTCACTATAGAAGCTAAAATACTAGAAGTCTAGAAATATTTTGAGGGTGAGCTTTAAAGCAAACCTTCCTAACTGCCCTTCTGTTCTGCTGGTGTGTTTTTTGTGGGTTGTCAGTGGTGGTGGTAGTTGGTAGGGCAAGAAATATGGTGGAATTTAAAATGTAGATGATTTAAATGCATTTGCAGGTTTTAGCCAGTTTGCACTTTTCACTAAGTTTGGCTGCTTCTTAGCGATGTCCCGTGCTCATATATCTCTTTTTTAATTGATTGTTTCTAGAAAGAGATGAAGAGAAGAAAGAGAGGGAGAGAGTGAAAGAGAAACATTGATTTGTTGTTCGACTTTATACATTCGTTAATTGATTTTTGTATGTGCCCTGATTGGGGATTGAAGCCTCAACTTTGGCATAGTGGGACAATGCTCTAACCAACTGAGCTACCCAGCCAGGGCCTGAAATATGTCTTTGAAGTCCTAGTTAAGTACGGTTACATCTATCTGGTAAGATAGAATAGGAAATAACATTAACAAAATACTCTCCTTTGGTTGTATTATACACATTCATTGTTCTACAGGTATATAATCAGCTAAGGGGGTTTAAACAAGGTATCATGTACTTCTATCATTTACCAATATATCCAGGCCCTTTTTTTTTCAAAATTCTAATGGAATCTGTAGAGTGTTACTTTCCCTTCTCCAAAATAATGTATTTTGTTCTCTCTTACTCTGCATTGAGTTTCTGGTAATCTTCCAGTCATAAGATGACTATCATAATCTTACTTTGTAAGGGTTATATTTTCTTCTCGGTAGGGTGCTGTCCACAAGTCTAAGCAGTGTCCATGTGTCCATTGTGTGGGTAAATGATGAGACAGTTGAATAGTGTCAGGGTTGGGATTGACATCTAGGAAATACTGTTTGTGGTTTCTTAACAGACTGCTAATTAGTTTCAGATAATATCTTTTTGCAGAAAATTTCTCCTGTGATTTTGTTCTTTCACAGCATTTTGTTTAAAGCTCAGAAAAAGTTTGTGTCAGCCTGCATTGCTGCCTCATGGGGGTTCTCCACAGCCCATAGGCCACAGAGGTGATAGTTTGTCCCATGGAATTTGTACATACCAGAAAATTTTTTTGATCTCAAGGATTGTTAGTCATAAGACTTTGGAGTACTCTATAGGGGAGAATGTCCTGTTGGGACAGCTGGAGAGGGATAGGTGACCAAAGGTAACGCAGGTGTTGCAGGATGTCTGGAATAACAAATCAGCCTTTTGGGAAGAGGAGCTTCGAGAGACTGATGGGTGTCCCTTCTGGGTAGAGGGTGGCAAGAGAGAAAAAGAAAGGACTAGAGTGATACATAGTAAAGGATTCTGGGCTCATACAGTATTATAGGCACTTTCTGCTTTCTTGGACTGTTGAATGACATGACCAGATTCATAGTCAGATCTTAGCAAAGCATTGTCAAATGAGTTATTCTGACTGTGTCTCTGTTTTTGGAAATATTTAATACATTGGAAAGTAGAGGTTAAAATACAGGTAGAGGCACAGGTGGGTGGGAGGGGAATGGGCATGAAGATTTATTTTGCTTTATCATCCCTCTGTATGGTCCCTAAAGAACATCATGTTCACAATTATATCAGATGGTTTCATATCAGAGATTCTTTACATGCTCTGGGGTTTTGAAAACATTTTTTCTTAAAGAGATTTTGTTCTAGTATTTTTTTTCCAAATGTAAAGTTAATTCAGGTAATTTTCTTTGATATCACTCCCTTAAAAACATCATTCCAAATACTTTGGTTTTATAGAGGAAAACATTATGATACTGAACTGGAAAAAAACAAGTTAGAATTTAAGTAAGAAAATTCAGGTTTTGATTTGTTCCATCAAAAGTGGCTATTGCTACTTATGTGTGTAAACTTAACTGTCAAAACATGGAGCAGACTGACAGCTGCTGGAGGGGAGGAAGGAGGGGGGCAATGGTGGAAAGAAGGGGAAGGGACTAGTCAAACGATATGTATGAATGACCCATGGACATGGACAGCAATGTAGGGATTCACTGTGGGACTAGAGGGTGGGCTGGGTGGAGGAGGGCAAAGGGGAAAAAATTGGAACAACTGTAATAGAATAAACAAGAATAAAAAAAGTGTAAGAGTTTCTGTAGTGTTCCCTTTTCACTATGATTTCCCACTTGGATGAGAGAGGTAAGATGTGGTCCCTCCTAGAGTTCATAATGTACAGGTAGGAGGAATATGAGTTTGAAAATGAAACAATATCATTTCGGCTTTTGCCTGAAACAGATGCACTTTCTTTTTTTTTTTAAGTTTTCTTTTTTTAAAAAGATTTTATTTATTTATTTTTAGAGAGGGAAGGTAGGGAGATAGAGAGAGAGAAACATCAATGTGCAGTTACTGGGGGTTGTGGCCTGCAACCCAGGAATGTGCCCTGACTGGGAATTGAACCTGCGACAATTTGGTTCGCAGCTCGCACTCAATCCACTGAGCTATGCCAGCCAGGGCTGCACTTTCTTTTTTAAAAAAATATTTTTCAATTACAGTTTATATTCAATATTATTTTGTATTAGTTTCACGTGTCCAATAGTGGTTAGACAATCAGAATATTTTACAAAGTGTTCCCCGGGATATTTCCAGTACCCCCGGCACCATAGTTAATTATTACAGTATTATTGTAAACAGATGCACTTTCAATAGAGATTTCCAGACAATTCGGTAGCAGTGTAGTTTCCATAAAAAAAGACACAGTCTCCATATTGCTCTGTTCATGTTAACTTTTACCTGAGATACTGTCCCCTAAGAGGTGTCTCTGATGCTCCAAAGGAGGTACCCCCAGGAGAAACAAAATGAGATTTAGAAGGCTCATTAGGTTCTCCTGTTGCCGTTGAACTAGATAAAGTGCAGAGAAGTATGGCTTTGGGCAAATGATTGAATTCTGGCTGGAGATGAAAATGCTGCAGTTGAATACTTTCCAGAACAACATGTACTTGGATCCATATTAAAGAAAAATTCTTTGAGTGTTTAAGCCAAATGACCCAGCAGGGTTGATAGTATGAGGCATATTTCGCAGTTGTATAAATATTTAAAACTGTTTTCCAGCCTATAAAACAAGTAAATTAGGTTGTTTTTAAAAACTGCATAATGACATTAACCTGCGCACCTTAACTTGTTGGGGAACCTGCCTTATCATCCCAGCCTTCTCTCCCAAAAGGGAATCACTGAACAAAAAGTGTGATGAAGGCTTCCAACTAGGAAAACAAAGCTGGTTTAGGAGGCGTCAGAGAATTCCACAAGGAATGATCAGCATCATGGCATACCGCTACAGGTGGTCTGTTTTCACGAGGCCCGTCTGCCTAAGTGGTCTCTAGGGATCCAACCAACTAGATGCCATAGCTTTTTGTCGTAAACTCCTTTGAACTTGATGAAGGATAGACTCAGGGCTCCACTATATACAGGAGCCTCAAAGAAAGCAGTGCAGCATCTTGGCTGTGTTGTTCTCAATTCTGAGCTGCTGGCCCTCGCCATTAGAATGCTACCAAGTCCGTCTTTGGCCACAGGTCTGTGGATGATTTGTAGGTGGTCTTTCCTGTTCAATTTTCTGAGGCTTATTTTATCATCCGTGTTCTTGTCCTTTCCCAAATTTATTCTCTTGCATTTATTCTTACCTGCACTTTAGCTATTGCTGGCACCTACTCTATCCGTCCCATTCATTGCTTGCCTTCAGTTATACAGACTTCTGAGACAATGGCGGTGATATTTCAACATTTATTACTAATAGAGTTCGGAAAGAATGTCAGTGACTGAATTTATCTCTCCTATCCTTAATATCCTGGTCAAGGAAATGCGAGCAAGAGTTAATAGCTGCTGTATAAAGCTGGTACCATGGGGTGGTGGAAAGAGCACCCAGCCATCCTGAGTTTAGCCCCAGGGATACATGAATGCCCTGAGTATCCTTGGGCAGATCAGTTGAGTTCTCTGGGCCTTAGTGCCCACACCACTCAGGTAAAAGATTTCGTTATGTAAGGTCCTTTGAACTGAGCATTCTAGAAGAGCCTGGTCCGTTTCTTTCGTCCCTCCATTGTGATGCTTCATTGTGAATATATTCATTCCCTCGACTATTCTCTGTTCCTGACAAAAGTTAATTTTGTGTTTGTTCACAGCCTGCAGAAAGAAAAATGGATGAATGTTAAAGTGGGAGACATCATTAAATTAGAAAATAACCAGTTTATTGCCGTGAGTATAGAGCATTGTTTAAATAATGTATCTCAGACTGAAATATCATATGTACTGCAGTATTTACATTTGCAAATTTAGTAAATCTATACTAATCCAGAGTAATTAAAGAGGGAATGCCAAGATAGATGTATTTGTAAGAAGTCTCAATGATAAAATGTTTTAAAAGACGTATTGATTACTGAATTTTTCAGACTATAAGATGCACCAGACCATAAGATGTGCCTAGGTTTTAGAGGAGGAAAATAGGAAAAAAAATTTGAAGCAAAAAATGTGGTAAAATATTTAATAACACAAATAACATAGCCCCCCCCCCCATTCTCAGAGAGCTAGGTAAGCTACATTCAGACTATAAGACACCTCCATTTTCCTCCCAAATTTGGAGGAGGGAGTGAGTCTTATAGTACAAAACCACGTAACTACTTTCAATAACATGGTAACTTAGATAAGGCCGAATGATCATCACTATGTCTATCTCCTCTGGCATGCATTAAATTAATAGATACAAAGATTTATAATTGTTTGATGTAAATAGGCACATTTAAAATGCTCCCGAGTACTTTAAAAATGGTTTGCCCTTCTGTAAGTTGAACATTATCCCTCAAGAATGGACTTAATACTGCTAATTTGCATATATTTAAGAAAAAGATGAGAGGCAGAGAAAATGTGTGCTCTCTTCTGAATTATCATAATCAGAACATTCTATTGATTGTCATGAATCATTAAAATCCTATTTGTGAGGGTTTTACTTTGCATATTAAATGAAATGGCTATAGGGGTGTCCAACTTTTTGGCATCTCTGGGCCACACTGGAAGAAGAGTTAGCTGTCTTGGACCACACATTAAATACATTATGACATGTAATCACACACACACACAAATCTCATAATGTTTTAAGTAAATTCATGATTTTGTGTTGGTCCGCATTCATAGCCATCCTGGGACGCATGCAACCTGCAGGCTGTGGGTTGGACACCCCCGGTGGAAGACTAGTTTGACCTAAACTCCAGTCCTGCCAAGGGCAGGCTTTGGCTCTGCTGGGCCCATCAGGGCATCTCATCTAGTCGCTTTTGCACCCATCTTGGACATCCTTCCAGAGAGGCCACCTTGGTTCTAATTGTCCTCATGTTATTTGAAGTTTTATAGTGTCACATCAGAGTTACTTGTTTCATTCTAATTTCTGTAAGTAAACCCTCCTTTTAAAAAATAAGTGAGACAGTAGAATGTTGAAAATTTTCAGAGAAAGAAGATTTTTTAAATGTTGATCTGAACTATAGGAAGAAGCAGCTTCTTGCTTCTTCTATCTGAAAAAACATAAATGACCAAAGTTCTGTTTGTAAACAATTACTAATTGTTGGGGTGAAATGCATGGGCAAGGATTTTGTTTTAAACAAGGAAAGGGCCTATCCATGAGTAAATGATATGAGGTTCATTATTATTCTCCTCTCCTCTCTTCTCTTAACCATCTTTTTGTTAATCTTCTCAAATCAATTTAATTATAATAAACAGAAAATAATATATCTAGTACATATTGCACAACATACATTTTTGGTACATAAAATTTAAATTTTAAATAAAAATAATACCTATAATCTCACAGTTTCATGACTTTATTCTGATTTTTGTCCATATCAACATATTTTCTTCTGTGCATACTCACACCGGATGAGGCACCTATAACTGAGAGAAGAAAGCACAGATGGGGGTATCAGGAACATGATTTTGGTTGGAATTAATGACTCTTTGCCTGACCCTGCTGTGGGTTCCAGTAATCATCCTTGGTCTGAGGAATAAATGGGTTTGCCTTACCAAAGCTCTTCTTCCCCTATGGACTAGTCACAGAAGCCCGTCATGGCAGAAGTTTATTTCCTGACTTGTCACCATGTAAACTAAGCATGCCCACCATGGAGAGAACATGTGAAGAGTGTATACCACCCTCTCTCTCTTTTATTTTGAGTGTATACCTCTCTTGAGCCAAAATTACCCATCATGATTTTAAAGGGAAACCAAGTTTTGGAAAATTCACCTTGGTTTTATTTCTCATTTTCAATTTCAATGAATATGATAGTAATAGAACTTCATGCTTCTTGGGCCTATGCCTCTCCTTCCTCAAGCTTAGAAGGATCATTTTAAACAAGATCCAGAATTCTCTTATTATTATCATCTGTGATTGAAAATAATTATGAAATATAGAGAAAGATGCCTGTTTATATTTAGAGTTGCTTTTCTTCCCAGACCCTGTTTTATCACAATTGAGACAACACAAGCACACACATGCTGTCTATTTTTGAGTTGGACATTTAAAAGCTTGAGACAATGAAAAGAATGAATTGATTCCAAATTTAAGTGTCAGGACTTGAGAGTGGTATGACTCTAATATTTTTAAACACAAAGGTAAAAAAAAGTCACAGATTTGTAACACTGATTGTACATTCAGATGTAGCTAGAAAATTGTTAGACTGTGTCAAAGTAAATCGCTAAAATTTGAGTCAGTTCTTTTCAGACATTCAAACCCTTCAGAATTTCAAAAACAGAATCCTTATTTTATTCAGTATTATTTATTTCTCATTAAAGTATAGTTGACACACAATATTATATTAGTTTCTGGTGTGTGACATAATGATCCCGCATTTATATGCCTTATGATGTATCATCATGATATATCTAGTTAACCATCTGTCACTGCAAAAGGGTATTGCTGACTGTAGTCCCCGTGCTGTACATTATCCTCGTGACCTATTTGCTTCATAACTAGAAGTTTGTACTTCCCTTCACCTTCTTCTTCCCTTCACCTTCTTATCCGTCTCCCCACAACCCACCCCCAGCCACCATCAGTTTGTTCTCTGTATCTATGAATCTGTTTCTGTTTTGTTTATTTAATTTTTAGATTCCACATATAAATGAAATCATACAGTATTTGACTTTTTGTGTCTGACTTATTTCACTTAGTGTAATATACTGTAGGTCCATCCATTTTGTCACAAATGGAAGATTTTATTCTTTTTATGGCTGAATAATATTCCATTGTGTATGTTTTATGTATATGTACACATATGTATATATGGGTATATATATATTCACATCTTCTTTATCCATTTATCTATTGATGGACCAAAAATTCCACTTCTGAGCATTTATCCAAAGAAAACAAAAATACTACCTAATTCAAAAAGATATATGTACCCCTATGTTCATTGCAACATTATTTACAATAGCTAAGATGTGGAAACAAAACCCCTTATTTTAATATAAAATTTGAAATTTAAAAGAAAATAAACAGCTTTCCAATGTAGAAAGGCACCAGAATTCTAAAACTGAATTGTGACAGTTTATTTCCAAAGCTCAAATGGACAGCTGCATAGAATGATTTACCTCTGTGAGAGGCCAACTACTTAGTGTCTGAGTGTTTTCCACTGTCTTTTACCAAATTTTCTACTCTCTTTTTCCCTTTTGCTTAGTCCCCACTTTATTTTCCCCCACCACCTTTTTCTTTTTTCTAAAGTAGCTGATTTTGTTTTTCTTTTAACCTTCCTCTCTTTTTAAAATTTCCTTGCCTGCCTTATTATTTCTATTGTTTTCAAATTCCTCCATCTATTTCACTTCTGTCTTTCCTCATCTCTTTGTCTGCCCCCTGCTCTTAACCGATAATACAAAAGGAATTAGAGTATATGCATATAAATATTTCCATTTATCTAATTTATTGGGGAAAGTTTTATATTTTTCATCAGTAATTATCCAAGCAAGAAAACAGAATTTTATATATTTCTTGCAAAAAAAGTGAATGGAGTGGCTATTCATTTTTTTGATAGCCCCTGCCCTTGCTTATGTTCTGATGGTCAAGGGTATGCAAAACAAGAACAGGTAAGTAGAGGGAGGGTTTGGTTCAGGGCATATAACAGAGAGGTGGAACAGGATTTCACTGCTCTCACTTTTTTCCTAAAGCTCACCTGGCTCGTTAGTAGTGGAGGGATGACACAGCATGGGAGACTCTGAACCAATCTTCTCTTCTCTTTATCCTGCTTTTAAAAACAGGCTGACCTGCTTCTCTTATCAAGTAGTGAGCCACATGGCCTTTGCTACATTGAAACTGCTGAGCTTGATGGGTAAGTTATTAAAGTTAGAATAAATAATAAGATTGTTTTTTAAATTTGTTTAAGACTAATAGCTTTAGGAACAGGACTTAAATCTTAATCTTTATTTTTCATTTTATTTTCTAGGAAGAAATAGTCTAAATTCCAAATTCATTTGCTAATTACTTTGTAGTTTCTTTTGGAAAACTCTATATTTTCTCTTGATTTTATTTTCTTTTGGAAATAGTGAATCAAACATGTATGACATGTCAATAATATCATACAGAGACTCTTCACTGAGATTCCTTAGAAGGGTTCTTTTTGGGGTTGGTTTGCTTGCTTTTAATTTCAAGTGATTCTCCAAGGAAAATGAGAGCTAGCAGTAGTGCAGGTCTCCTGAGGAAGGAAGGACCAATGTCACTGCAGAAGGCAATCTTTTGGAACTGGGACAAATGACAACATAGAGAAAAAAAAAAGAAATGGAGGATGAGGCAGCTTTGACATTGATATAAAGTAGTTCTTTTTCATTGATTCCATTTGTCTGTCTGGCATAAGAACATTTAGTGAATGCATACATTTTAAAGATACCATATATGTTTTATAGGTGGATTTTATCATTTAATCCTGAAATAGGTACTATATATATACACATATATATGCCCCATTGTACAATGAAGAAACTAAATCTTAAAGAGACTAAATAATTTGTCTCAAAGTTCTAAAGAGTGGAGATAGGACTCAAACTTGGCAGTCTGACAAAGGAGCCCATGGTTTTATCCACTACTTCTTTAAGTTACTGTCTTAGAGATAGTCAAATAGAGTTTGGCCTGTGTAATCTCACCCCTAGTTTGGGCAGAAGCTAAAATAGTGCTGAGAAAAAAAACCTACAGCAATAAATGCATACAACTGAAAAGAGAAAAAGTCTCAAATCACTATCATCTCAAGAACATAGAAAATACCAGAATAAATCTAAAGCTAGCAGAAGGAAAGAAATAAAAACAAAAACAAGAGCAGAAATGAATGAACTTCAAAAGACGAAAACAATAGAGATAATGAAACAAAGAGCTGTTTTTTTGAAAACATCAAGGAAATCTTTAGCAAGACTGAAAAAAGAAAAAAGAGAAGACACAAATTAACAGTATCATGAATGAACCAGGGGGTTTAAGACAGATCCTATAGACATTAGAAGGATAAGGAAATACTACAAACAACTCTATTTATGTAAATTTAATAACATAGATAAAATGGGCCACTTTGTCAAAAAAAAACTATCACAACTCATCCAGTGTGAAATAGATAATTTGAATAGCCCTGTAATTATAGAAAAATTGAATTCAAATGTAAAACATAAAACTATAAAATGTTTAGAAGAAACATAGGAGAAAAATCTTTATGATCTAGGGCTAGTCAGAGTTCTTAGACTTGACACAAAATTCATGACCCATAAAAGGAAAATTTGCTAAACCAGGCTTCATCTAATTAAAAGTTTTTACTTTGCAAATGCCCAGTTAAGAGGATAAAAAAATAAGTTACAGACTAAAAGAAAATATTTTCAAACTATCTGTCTGACAAAGGACTTGTATCTTGAACATGTAAAAAATACCCAAAACTCATAGTAAAAAAAACCCAAATAATTTAATTAGAAAATTGGCAAATGATATGAAGAAACATTTTACTAAAGATGACATACTGACAACAAATAAGAACATGAAAAGATATTCAACATCATTAACCATTAGGGTTAAAACTACAATATAGTATCACAACATACCTATCAGAATGGCTCAATTAAAAAATAGTGACAACTCCAAATGCTGGCAAGGGTATAGAGAAATGGGATCACTCACACATTGCTGATGGAAATGTAAAATGCTACCTTCATTCTGGAAAAAAGTTTGGCAATTTCTTAAAAACTAAACATGCAATTACCATACAACCCAGCAATTTCATTCTGGGGATTTATCCCAGAGAAATGAAGACTTATGTTTATGTGAAAATTTATACACAGATGTTTATAGCAGTTTTATTTGTACATCCCAAATTGGAAACCACTTATATGCCTTTCAACATGTGAATGATTGAACAAGCTGTGGTATATCCATATCATAGAATACTACTGAACCATAAAAAGGAAGGAACTATAGATATATGTGACAACCTGAATGAAACTTCAGAGAATTATGTTGAGTAAAAAAGGCTACTTCCAAAAGATCACATGCTGTATTATTCTATTTACATAACATTCTTGAAATGGCAAAATTATAGAAATGGACAGCAGAGTAGGGGTTGCCAGGAAGTGAATGTGAATTGCAGGAGACAGGGAAGTAGGTGTGGCTGCAATGGGCAACCGAAGGAATCCCTGGAGTGATGGAGATATCCTGTACCTTGACTGTGTCAATGTCAGTATCCTGGTTGTTACATTGTGATATAGTTTTTGCAAGATTTTACCATTAGTGGAAACCAAGTAAAGGTACCCAGGATCTTTCTGTCTTGTTTCATATGCTGAAAATTATTTTGAAGTTTATCAAGATACGGAGGCAGATTAAAGGACAGTATGGTACAACAATGAAGGTATTAATCCAGACTCTTAGAAAATTATTTTTTTTTATCATAAGGCACATGTGTGACTATTCTTCTTCTTCAGTTTCTATATCTGAAGGTGAAAGTGAGACATTGGAGAGAATCCTGAGGAAGTAACCTAAAATGATGAAAAACTTGGATGAATGACATGATGTACTGAGTAGGATAAAGGAATGAGGACTGTCTGGCCTGGTTGGCATGACTGACTATTTCTAGTATTTGAAAAGTTGTTTAAATGAATGGATATGTTAGTCCTTTAGCCTCAACACCACTATCTCACCCTTGACCATCAATTCCATCTGAATTTCTGCCTCAACTAGGAAGTTCCTGATAATCTCAATCTCTCCTCATCTGTACCTCCTGGGAACTAACACATTTTGATCAATGGGATTATTTTTAAACAAAGTAACTTCATTATATACACAACTTTCCTACAGAAAGCTATTTTACCAGTGGGTATTCCTTGAGTTGGGTTCATACTACCTTAACATCATTGTGAAGCTCATTTATGGGAAGCTTAGATTACATGCCTTCTCAGGCATCTGCCGCTTGGTTCCCTAAATTCTATTACTCCATAGTGTAACATGTACTTACAAAAGGCGATATTTGCTTTTTTACCCACCACTTGTTTCCCTCAAGAGGGCAATTTCCCTCATGGGGCAGCATTGAGTATCATGGTATGTATTCAACTAAAATTTGTTGACTGAATGAACCCACTACTCAACATTCTCATAAAAGATAGAACTCTGAAAGATAATCTTAAACTACAGTAGAAGAGAATTTGGTTGGACTTGGTGAGAAAGCTGGCATGGCAAGCTCTTAAATACAGATGTGAGTGACAGTCATAGACTCTTCACTGCTGGTCGTATCTCTTACACCCGAGATCAGCCCTTTGTCCATCGTATGTGTGGTCCTGCCTGGAAGACGATGACCAGCTTACTGTGACCTGCTGAGTTCCTGTTTGGTTATTTGATTTTAGACTTATGGGATTCTTGGCTTGATTTTCCAAGAAAAAGAAAGCTGTATTGCTTTTCCCATTTAAATTTCAGCTACTGTGAAATTAGCCATGACTTTTCCTTTGCAAGTAAAACCCCTATGTAGATAGCAGACTCTGGAGTCATACTGGCCTCCTTTTTTTGGCAGTTGTGTTCCGTTCCTAATGTGTTTTGTAACTCATGCATGATGTCTGAATAGATTCGGATGAAACCACATTTATTATGTCCTCTGTTCTTCCAAATAGCAAAACAGATCACTGTGTTGTTATACAGATGTGCCTTGGGTGGAATGCCAATTCTTAGGAGCCTGCAAAGCCCTGTCCACTTCCTGAGACAGTGCGAGAGATGTGAATGACATTCAAAGGGAGTTTCTCAAATCCCTCGTATTGGATTTTGCACATGCCACACCCACCAGATTGCTTTGTGTAGGATATTGTTGGGCTGTTTCTTACAAAAATTCATGTCATGTCAATTAATTTCACAGGGAAACGAACCTTAAAGTTCGCCATGCACTATCAGTTACCTCAGTGCTTGGAGAAGATATTAGCAGACTTGCGAAGTTTGATGGTGAGTGTTTACAATAGACAAACAAAAATGTTGAAATCAAAAAGGTTTTGTAACAAAAATAGTAATAAACCAATGATCTCAAATGCAATTTATGTTTTTTTTTAATTTCATGAAAGAACATAAAGTTTTCCAGGAATCAAAGCCTGTAATCTCGTCTCACTTGAATGACTAAAAGTGTTTACCAAGGGATAATGACTTTATCAGTTCATCATTCATTTCATCCTTATTTCTTCTTCTCTAGATCGAGTTCCCTTTAGTCCCACAACACCCTAACTTGCCTTACCGTGGTCTTCCCGGTGCCCTGGGCAGACTCACTGAGGAGGAATACAGGACACAATTTTGTTTCTGGCTCTAGGCATACCCATCCCTCCATTCTCTGACTCCTCAACCAGACCAAACACTGGACTGTAAACTTGTGACAACAGTAATTCTGCCTCGTCTATTTCTGTATCATTCATAGTGCCTGGCATATGTCTTAAAGATAGTAGGTGCTTAAAAAGAATATTCTGGTTTATTAATCAGTCAGTCAGCTGTTGTCCTCTATTTTAGACCCGATTTTGTTATCACCATCTTCACACCATTCCACCGAGTCCCCTGCTCCTCAGCATGGAGTCTCTCCTGCCTGTTCTATTCCAGCTATGTCATGTTTTTTGTTTGTTTGTTTTGTTTTGTTTTCCTATTAAAGCTGTCACAGAAAAACAAAATCCTTCAGGAGTCCAAAGAAAGTGTCATTAATGGTAGGACAGCAGGCACCATGACAGGCTGTGGGAAAATCTCTGGGGCCTTCTGGCCAACCCTCCACCGTCTCTCGCTTTACACACTCATATGCCTGGCTTTGAATATCAATGTTTACATATAGCTTGGTTTTATTTGTTAATGAATCTTTATGAGTTTGAGACTATTTTCCAAAATGTTTTCTTTGGAGTCCACCAAAGGAAAATCTGGACAAGGGTCTTAGCATGTAGCATGAGTTGAAGTGCAGGTAAATTTACATTGCAAAGTTTCTCCAATGCACAGCTTAGAGTTTATGTTGCCTGTGCTTTGCATTTACTTGTAAACTTCATCTGAATTCTGTTGGTACTTTAATCTCTCTTAAAAGAGTGCAGTTATAGCAAATGTTTATAGAAAAAAATATTCCTCTGGTTTAAGGTTAAGTCAGAGAAATAGCCAGGAAACTTTGAATGGCCCAAGAAATATTTTGATTAGATTAAAAACAAATTACTCATTTTTTACTAAGTAATTTTTTCAATGAAATTTTACTGTTATGTGAATCCAAGAAAAGTAAATTGTGTTCATGAATTAAAATACTTGCTTAAAGTACCTCATAGAGTATTTATGGAGTCCTAAAAGGGCAACAAAAATGTAATTTACCATTACTCGTTTCTTTCCTGCTGGAATTGTACCTTTAAATCTCTGTCGATCTATGAGGAAGTAAAAATTCTTGATTTTTAGTTTTCTTTACCATCAAAAAGGAGAAAATGATTGTTATAATAACCAGTTCACTTTCTTTCATAGATATTGGCACAGATAGCCTGCACTATGATACAGTTATAGACAATCCAGAAATTGTAGTGGCATAAACAGTGAAAGTTTATTTCTTGCTCATGTTGTATTCTGATGCAGGCTGGGTGGCCTTCTCCATCTGGGGGCCGTGGTACCTAGACTAATGGCCTCTAAGGTCAGCACATCACAGTAAGGATGAGATAAAAGAGAAAAACTGACTTTTACTTCTTTCTCTCACATTTCATTGGCCAGCATGAGTCACACGGTCCTGATCTAACTGCAGGGGAGCCTGAGAAATAATAAGAATGGATATTTATTGAAGGCTAACAGTTTGTATCACACCCTTTAAGAACTGTGACCATAGGCTAGCACGTAAAAGGCCAGGCTGGATTAGGTAGATTTCTTACATGGAACCAAAGAAATGGGTCTGAGAATCCTCCTTCTTAACGTAACTCTTTATCTCCCAATCTCCAACTCTGTTTGACTTTTTCTTCTTCTCATAGCACTTATTAGAATCTGATATACTCTATAACTTTCTAATTTTCTAAGTTTATTATTTATTGTCCATCTCTACCTGCCGCAATAAGAGCTGCACACGGATCTTTGTTTTGCTCACTGATATATACCTTGTTTCTAGGAGAATGACTGGCACATAGTAGCTGCTCAATAAATAGTTGCTGAATAAATGGTCCCAGTTCCAGAGAGTGGGGGCAGGATCAGACCCCAGAGACATGGAATAGTGAAGGGAAAGATTGGGGAATGATGAGGGGTAGAGAAAGCTTCCTGATGGGGCCTTCTAGGGCAAAGCTGGAGGGCTGAGTGTCCTCCTTTGGAAGGCAGGTAGCTGGGAGACAGATTATATGGTGTGATGGTTTTACATCAAATCCTTTACATCAAAATCCTTTCTTCAAACATGGCTTAACACAGAAGCCCCAGATTTAAACCAATGCAAGTAGTGTTTCTCAGGCTAAAGCAAGAAAACATTTCCTCATCTAACACAATTCCTTTTTACAGATGGGGTATACTTAAAGGTTAAAGGATTTGTTTATATGTAAACATAATCTCTTTTAATACTTCTTACAAGTTATTTTTAAAGTGAAGTAATAATTATTACTTACTAGATGTCACCTGATTTTGCTTCACACAGCATAGGTAACTCACCAAATCTCTAATGTATAATTGTTTTTGCAAGTAAAGGCAACACAGACCTCTCTTTTTTCTCATTTATACTTTAGCTGCGGTCACTTTTCAGAGAACATGTAATGTCGAATGCATCAGGCTGGTACACTTCTGGGCTAAGAACCAGGTTTCTGCTAAATTTATTCTTTCGTTCTTAAATCTTGGGTTGAATTTCAATCAGCCTTAAAGTTCAAGGCAATATGACGTTTTATGGTTTTAGCCTTATTAAAATATGATGATTTGTTTCCAAGAAAGCATCTGAAGAATGAATAGAGGGATTAAGGAGAAATAAATTAAATACAACATACAAATAGCAGCCAAATTGAAAGACCAAGAGGGTGATGCAAGAGGTATATTTGAAAGAGTTGGGACAATTAACAAACCCTAAATCCTTCCCACAATTGCTTCTGCTTTCTTATAGCCTTCAACTTTTCCTCCATTTTTTCTTTTCAAGCCCTGTTTACATGTTCTAATTTCGATCTCTCCTTGCCTCTCTGACACACACATTCACACACTATATGCTACGTACACACATTTTCTTACCCATTTCACCAGCTCTCCTTCTCTTCCTCCCTTTCTGCATTCTTTCTATTGTCTTTCCATCCTCCTCTTCCACTCCTTATGTTAGTTTACTTATTTTCTCTACCCACACTATTTCTTTTTCTGTTTTTTTAAATCTTTGGTGCCCTCTCTCCACATTAATTGGTTCATTAAATCTATTTATGAAGTGCCTCCTTAGGACAAGATGCAGTACAGAGTATGTAGAATTATATAGTATCTCCACATGTATTATATGTTTCTTTAGATTCTTTTACTCCCCCATTCTTTCTCTACCTTCCCTGTTTTGTCTCCCCTATTCACCTTTGTTATAATGGAATATCAGTAAATGTCAGGGTCTCTTCTGGTGGCTAGAAAAAGAATTCTTCATGCCGTGAGAATGAAAGCCAGATAGTTCATTCTTTCTTTTAAATTAGAAATATGATATCATCATTGTGTACATTTGGAAATGGCCTGCCTAGCTATGTCAAGTTCATGTAGATGAGACAGACATGTGAGGCACGCCTGTCTGTGCTAAGTATATCTTTTAGCTTGTGACTTCTGGGCAAATGTGGGTATGGCATTATTTTTGTTTCTAGTTACTGTGTGGTTTTTTCCTGAGACTTGCCAAAATACTTTCTTTCACACCAAATTACAGGGTTCTGTCCTTGAGTCATCAGTGCACATCTTCCAATTATCTGAAGACCTGAGTGTCCCACTCCTATCCTTAGAGAGATCCCCATTGAAACTCCAAACTGGGGACATCAAGGGTCAAAACTGTGGTAGATGGGGCCTCAGGATATCTCTGATAATTCTCCCTGCCTAAACCTAATGACAGTGTCTTGCTGGTGGCCTCTTTAGGCCTGGCATGTGCTTTTACTCAATCTTTCCTTTCTTTCATTTACTCAGTCACCTGCTCATTCACTCAGTAAATGTATCTTTAACACAATGAATGGCAAGGGATCTGCCAAGGCTGGGGATATAGTGGTTAATAAGTCAGACCCAGATTTTGCTTTCAAAGAGCTTATAATCCAAGGGAGAAGACAGACTTGAACATAAGCTCATCCCCCAAAAAGCCTTTAAGTAGGTAAATGTCCTAAAGTTCTCAGGCCCTAAACATGATGTCAACATATGAACAAGTACTTACTATTTACCAGGCACCTTGCTAAATAATTGTGCACAGTCTTACTAAATCCTGACAGCCCTGCGAGAAAGAGGTTATTATTATCTCCAGCTATGGGCAAGAACCCTGAGACCCTGATAAATCAAATAACTCTCCCAATGCCATATGATTACCAAGTTGAAATGTCAGAATATGAAACCAGGACTGCTGGCAAAGCTTATTCTACAAATTGACATGAGAGGCTCTGAACTACAAGCAGAAGGCAGCATTGGAGAGATGGGGGAATTAACATGACAGCAGAGCCTGTGATCAGGACAGGGTTAGGTAGGGCAAGAAATAAATTGCAAGAATACTCTAAATCTAAAGATACAAAATTAATGACCAGAGATCAATTCTTTTCAGGACTCAGATGACATAATCCTATTTTTAAAAAGTAGCAATGTTTTTAGTCATCTTGAATGTTAGGATCTCTGACAAGAGTTTATAGAAGGGCTGAAAAAGCATAGAGGCCAGTGCATGCAAGGTGGAGCTGGGTTTCAGTAGGTAAATCCACTTATTCAAAAAGATCTCACATAAATATTTTTATACATTTCAAACATCAGAAAAAATGGTATGTAGTGTATTGAACTTTATAAGATGAAGTACATAACTTGATCTA